TTTTGCAGCAGCTGAAGCACTCATAACTTTCTCAAACATCAGTTTAAAGAATCTAACTTTGTCTTGATCCGTACAGAGTGTGTACGCTCGCTTACTCGACGCCTCCTTCATGCAAACATCTGGGTCATCTTTTGCATCTTCATCTGCCACAGAGCCTACATCGAAATTATTCTCCTGAGGCTGATTATACAAATACTGAGTGTGTGAACTAACTGTTTCTAAAGCATATCGCTCTTCGTCAATGATATAGTCCATAGGCTCAGGTCTACCATATTCAGCAACTGCATTACCGTGCCCGTCTTCGTAGAAAATTTGAAAGCTCATATTGTAATACTCGGTTTTTAATGAAAAAGAGAGCTGACGGTGCTTTCATGCCTAATATACTCATATTTTGTACGACAGGGCTCCTACATATACGACATTCAATTTGTCAGCAAGCGAAATCAGCCAATGGTTTACGTGACAATAGAATTTAACGAACGTGAATTTTACTCTTGGCATCAGTGTCAATAATTTTTGGAAATCCTATATAGCCTCTTTACTAAGAATAAGAAGAAAGTGCGCCAATAATCTTCCATTTGTACTGCACGCTTACACAGCACTTACATAATATCTGGCGTAAGTAATTCGATTTGCACAGCAAACAGTATATCTGTCGTGCTTACCTTATAAACACTTCATATTATCATTACTTGAAGAAAGAGAAATATAAAAAGACTTGACCACAAAATGCATTATACTTATATGACACATCATGTCCAGTTCTAATTGGACATGATAAGTTCATGCAATAATCCTGTCTGTTTCTTTTACAACAGCACATTTGCAGAAATGTTTATTAAACAAGTGCTATTTACATAAATTTGTACACAGAGAGAATGATGAAACTTAATTGGCTTCTTGTTGAAGGTTACGGCCAGTTTCTCTTGCGCGTTCACTATGTGGAACAAAGCCACCACCAGAATGCCGGCCTCCTTTGCGGCTAGCTTCGTTTGCGCGTTTATTATGAACAAGGTTGCGACCAAAGGCCCTACCGGCCTTGGAAACAATGTTTCTTACTTCTTCTTTGGGACGGTTAGCAAAGTTTCCGGGATTACTGTTTTAAGAAGACATTTTTGCAATCTGTTTCTTGATAAAAGGTAAAGAAAAAACATAATTCTGTTTGTTGTAAGTTAGACATAATAAATAATAAATTATGCAATAAAGCCTAAACAGCATCGCTCATGCAGGCAAGATTGACTTTAGATCTGACGATATATTGCATCATAAGGAATAAATACTGATTTACAAATGGTGAATAAACTCTATAGTTTTTGCATTAATGCACTTATAATGCAGCGTTGACAGTAAAGCTGCATTTAGGCATGTATAGAAATGATGGTTACAATAAGATAAGATGAAGTTTCAACATGGCATAACAGTAGAACAGGGGTAGAAATTTACCGCTTATTGCATTAAAAAGTCTAAATAAGGTTCTTCAGAGTAAATCCTCTTCTGCTTGTGCCTAGGTTTCAGGTCTCGGATTAATAATTGGTCAGGTACAAATCCGTGTCGCCTAAAAGAAAGAGCTCTAAGAAACTCTCTATGATCAAAGAATGATATTTTATAAATGACAAAAACCCTATTTTGTCTTATACAGACGCGAAGACATTATAAACATCCTTCTTTGTGATTGGTTGATTTGATCTTATGTTCGCATGGTAATCAAACGAGAAACGAAGGAATGATTTGACTTGCACAAGCATGAATTATACAAAGATACACATACAAAATACTTTTTTTTAGAAGTGAATGCTAGAGTAACTTGAAATTTGTAGATAAAATGAAGCACTACGGATTTTGAAAGAACCCTCCTCCACCTAGTTGTTGGTTCAACTCTTTGGACTGTATTCGCTGAGCTGCAGATGTATATAATAGATCTGTATCTTTATACTTTGAGACAGCAGGCAATACGCTATATCTACCATTTTAACCCGAGTCACTGAGACCTTTAGACCAACCATGGTACCTGACAGTTTAAAAAGAAATATAGGAAGTTAATTCGGCCAAATTTGCCATTATTATATGGACCATCCTTTATAAAAACGACATGAAAGACAATGGCATTTTATACAAATAAATAAAACTTTTCGTTCTGGCGTGCCCATAGCGTTTTCGCATTTGCGTAGTGTTTCCCAAAAGAAGGGTTTCTTTAGGTATCCCCTCCCCCTTGTCACGGTTGGCTCAAAATTCAGTTTCCGTGACTTGAAAAATTGAGATAAAGAAAGGGACGTCTCTTATAGAATATTTACATGAGAGATATCCTGTGTATATATTCATCAGAAAGAGGAAGGGAGTCTATATATATACATTCCTGAGATATGAGATCGGCCATATATAGTAGCTTAAGAGTGACATAGGTAAAAAAAAAAGCCAATTATGGATTGACTAGATGATGCACATATACACACCTGATAGAGTCTAGTGATTCTCTTTCTATTGTCCAGTCGCTATTTAGAGAGTATTTAAAAAAATAACTAAATCCATTTGTGAATAAGTTGATAGACTGTGTGGGATTCTCGAGCCTCTTTTTTCGATGATTACAAGCTGCCTTTGTATACAGTTCATCTATGTGCCGATACAATAAAGTTGCGCAGTACTATACATCTTTACAAGACAAAGTTTGAGTTCGATTGTCAAGCTTGCTCTCAAATCTATAACGCTTACTGCTGTGGCTCATTGGAAATTTTTGAAACGCAGACTTAAAGAGAGTCACCCAAAAGCTTTTATTTCTCTCTTTCGTGAGCTCTCTCCCTCTTACTATCTTTTTTTTTTTCCTCATTTACATATGGATATAAACACACCCAAATCAAGTGTAATATTTTTACTTAAAAAGGATAATAAATACATGATACTGACCACGCAGCATTTAGCCTCTTGGAATTCCTATTCCAAATAGTTCCAAAGTAGCTGTTGCAGGTAGTCCCAACATGGGCCAACCCATGAGCTCGTCCTATGAGAACCGATGGTTGTCAGCCACAGACGACATCAAAAAGAATTCACCACTTGCTCGTAGAAAGAGCAGTACATCAGAAGACGTCGCGACAGTGTCCAAAGAGAGTAAAAAAAAAGAAAATACGAGACCAGAAGGACAACCGGTAAAGAAATCACAAAAAGAAATGACAAAGGCAGAACGTCGTGCACTTCAAGAACAGCAACGTGCTGCCAAGGAAAAGCAGCGTGCTGCGGCTGGCTTGCCCACAAAATCAGGAAAGCCACCTGCCGATAACGAGTCAAAGAAATCAAGTGCTGCTAACAATAACAATAATGCAAATACCAAATCAGTTGCTCAATCTGGGGATGGTAAACAAAAGAAGAGTAAGGGACAACAGAATCAGGTGCCTTGGCTTCTTCATTTGGATACACCTAAACGTCCAGAGGCCAGCAAAGATCTTCATCCCGCCGTACTTCAGCTCGGCTTGTATTTTGCTGAACACAAGATTGTCGGTTCCAATGCTCGATGTGTTGCTATGCTCGAAGTCTTTTCAAAGGTAACTTTAAATGCAAATCATTCTCGGATAATTAATTTTTGTTAATGTAGGTCATCGCGGACCATAAACCACCCTCAGATGCTGCATTTTCAAGACATATTCAGAAACACTTGGACCCTCATATCGCTTACCTCTTAAATATCCGACCTATGTCATTGAGTATGAGAGAATGTATTCGTTGGCTAAAGAAGGGAATGGCAGACATTGTCGAGCACGATCCTCCATTGAACGACGACGATGCGCGTGCACAACTGATCGAACGTATAGAACACTTTATCCGTGAACGTATTACGATGGCAGATAAATTGATCGTCCAGAACGGTCTGCAAAAGATCCATGATGGTGATGTGATTTTGACTTATGCTAAATCATCTGTGGTCGAAAACTTGCTGCTTGAGACAAAGAAAAAAGGAATCGATTTCAAGGTTATTGTGATCGATAGTCGTCCGTTATTTGAAGGTAAGCATTTGCTCAGACGACTGGTGGCCGCTGGTATCGATTGTTCCTACCACTTGCTCTCAAGTGTCTATATTGCCCTCAAATCAGTGACCAAAGTCATCATGGGCGCACACGCCTTACTCAACAATGGTGCTGTCTACTCTCGTATTGGCAGTTCCATGGTAGCGATGGCAGCCAGTGATAAGCAAATCCCTGTCATGATTTGTTGTGAGACCTATAAATTCGTCAATCGTACACAAGTTGATTCGTTTGTGCTGAACGAGTTAGGAAACCCTGATGATTTGGTAAATACTGGCTTAAAGCAAGAAGAAGCTGCCCTATCTTCTTGGAGAGACCAGCCTGACCTTCGACTGCTGAATCTCTTATATGACGTGACTCCTTCTAAATATATTTCCTTGGTTGTTACCGAAGTGGGTCTTATTCCATGCACATCTGCTCCAGTCGTAAGTGATTTATTTATCTTTAGCAATGAAGAAATCAGATTAACACTCTTTACTCTTATTAGATCTGGCGTGAATACAAGTAAGCCTTTTATTCATTTTCCGTATATTTATTAATCATTTTTATTTTCGTAGCGAGGAATTTGGAAAGCGTATTCATTAACCAAATAGACAATAAATATTTTTTCAAACTTATGCATCCTCAGCATAGACCAAGCCTATCTCTTTTCTCCAGCTGTCCATCGCACGTACTTGACCCAGTGAATCTTGCCAGGTCATATACTTGCACTCGAGCTTACCCTCCAGCACAGCATCTGCGACGGCATCTGCTTCAATTGCATAAATATCTGTTTCCTCCAGGGGAACAGGTACGATTTCCTTTGGCTTGCCGTATACAGAGAGTTCGATTACGACTGGACCCAGTTGCGTAAGATCAGGTCTCCAAAGGTTTTGCACCTTGATTCCACCTTGACTGCCCAACACCTCGACACTCGAATCACTATCACAAAAGATACCTGTGAACAACTGAGCGGTGATACCTCCATCAAAGGCAATGGATGCATTTGACCATTCGTCCACTTGAGTGTCAGGTTGCACATAACCAACCGCCTTAACCTGTACAGGGTCATCACCTTCAGTATCAGAATCTTTAGCTACACCAGCGACAAGACGAGCAAATGACATGGGATCTAACACAAAGGGCCATGAGTTTTACACTGTTGCTGTTGCATTTTTTTTTTAAAAAAAAGAATTACATCCACCAATATCTAAAATAGCGCCCCCACCAAGTTCGTTTCTCCACAATCTCGAGCTTGGTCCAAGCGGACGGCCATCAAATGAAAAGTTTGCGCGTACGTACTTGACTTGTCCGATCACGCCTGACCGAATAAGTTCGACAACCTTCCGAGTCTGAGGATGACAGCGATACATGTAAGCCTCCATGACAAACAGACGACGTGCCTGAGCGGCTTCAAAGATGGTCTTGACTTGCGTTTCGGTCATACCCATAGGTTTTTCAATAAGCATATGTTTACCTGCCTCGATAGCTTCGAGGGCAAGACTAAAGTGCTGAGGATGAGGTGTGGAGATATAAACGATGTCAATTTCGGATTGTAATAGGTCCTGATAGCTGCCAAAACAACGAGTCGCGTCTACACCAAACTTGGCTCCAAACGTCTTGGCACTTTCTAATGAGCGGCTTCCAACAGCAACTAATCTACCTCTTTTGGCAGCCTTTAAGGCTTTGGCAAATAAGTGTGCGATGTTGCCTGTACCGATAATACCCCAACGTAAAGAATCCATTACAGAAAAAGAAAAGAGAAAAAAAAGGGTAAAGGACCCTTTTTTTCTAGATAAAATAGCGTGAGAAACCCTGAACGAGAGGCTGAATTTAAAAAGCCTATGGGCGCGGAGTCCTCCAGACAATAAAAGTCGCTTCTCCTGTTCAAAGCTGAGTATTGCTAAGCCAGTGGGCTTAAGAAGTATCTGATATACGATTGCAAAACTATCATTCGATTGCTAGGCATGAATCATGAAGAATAGCAATAAGTAATTTTCACAAAATAAATAAAGCACCTCAATTTTGAATTTGTTTCATAGAGTTCAGTTAATCTAATGTTGCTCACTCTATCAAACAGAGGATTATAAGCAGTTTTGTAGTAAGCAACAGCATTCATCGTAAGGCTCAAGGTTCCTTGTAGAGCTTTTCAATACTTCTTATAATTATTGATTTTCAATCTTTATATTGTCGCTTTATTCTGTGTTATAAATATGATCGAAGTCGTTTAGTCAAATTATCAACGTAAATTACGAAACTTAGTGTTGTTTGTCGCCGTTTACGGCAGCGATGCTAAAGCTGCACGAGTGCCCAAGAAACCTGTTGCTAATAAGCTACATAATGCCACATATTACTAGCAGAAATCAATTTATGCTCCTGCACAGAACTTGTATATATTCTTGCATAGACAATTTTTCTTTTCCTTTTTCCTTCTTCTTTTATTTCTTACTGATAAATGCAAGTATCGCTCTCAGTGCAATAATTGGGCGAGATTATGTGTAGGGGAAAGTGGGCTGTCGTTTTATTGAAACTGCTGGATGCTTTGAAGAAGATTGATAAGAAGGCAAGTATCTTTGATATAAATATGTTTTATATATGTGTCAATGTTCTCATTCTCATTAGCGAACATTCGTCGACAAATACAAAGCACACAAAAGCATCCAAGCAGCTAAATACAACAATCGTAATATATATTGAATCAATGAAAGTGTACTGAATTATATAGACCTTTTTTATGAAAACGACAACATAAAAATGTGAACAGAGCAAGATTTATTAGATGAAGTCTATGGCTCCATCAAGAAAAGTAAAGCACTCAGCAAGACAAGAACGGAGACGTAAGGGTATAAATCAATTTGGAGCAGATTACATTATATGAGCTAACACGCTTTATATTTTTATAGTGTATCTCACGTCCTCTTTTATTAGTTCCCTTTTCTTTTAAAAAATAAGCGTTGTATTGTCGATCTTTTATTGCTTTAATCAAAACATGTAAATACTATATCTGGTGACATGCCTGAATTAATTTGGCAGGTTCCCTCTCTTTTGCCTCCAGTACTCGCCTTCGTGTACAATTGCGCACTGATATTAAAGGTCACAATAGAGTGCCTGGAAGCCGTTGAGTCCTCTGCGACGTCCGATCACCCTCAATAACGTCTATTTTCATCCTGATAACAAACACGAACAAGAAGAGAAAGACTCTCCTTCCTTGAGTTCATTCTCGTTTTTAATAAAACTTTTACCACACCGTACTAGCGTAATACTGTTGTGTTTAATTTAACTATGCTTTATCTTTCATTTCACCTCATTGTTATTGAACATATTTACCTGTTACTGTCATAATGTATAATGCTTGTATATTGAATAATAAAGAACTGTAGAACTTGTCACAACAAAATCAAATGTATCATCATTTTGAGCAATTTAGTTACCAAATGATGAAAAGGTGGCTGGATGCGTAGTGTGTAAATCAATCAAAAAAGTGATATTTGAGATTGCCAAACAAATATTTCAGTAAACATTTAGAATGGTTGATCGTTGTGGTTCTTCTTATCAAGATGTACAGTGCTTTCCCATCTTTTTGACTCTGTATACTAAAAGGGATAAATATTCATTTTATCAACTAAATGATCGCATTTGTTACTACAGTAATTAATCATAAAAAATTGATAAATTGCTTTGTCGTAGTTTGGCTGATCATCTGTTTAACTGTATCATGTCTTTATTGTATTTTATTTAAGCTTCCATTAGCCTAGATTTATTCCAAATGAAGTAAGCAAGCTGATTTGGTTGTACTTTATAATAATGAGATCAAATGAAGCGTCATAATGACTCATGGTATTGGTAAGTAGTGAATTATACTCTAAGGGTTATTGAGCATTATTCATTACCAATTTACCTTGTTTATTATTGCTCTTTTATTTCCATATAAGGCTTCTTTTGATCCTATTGACATTCATACACTCATGTTCTTTTTTATTAACAAGCCCTCTCTTGTCGCCAGTAAATCACATATTTGACCATGCTTCTCATTCAAGATATGCGTGCATCCATGCTATTAAGGGCGTTACATAAAGTTAGCTGCGTACCTAGCAACCATCCTGTTTCGAGCGCCATTTGAAATAGTTTATGCAGACTTCACTTTTTCTTTTTTTTCTTTTTTTTAGTCTTTGCTTTATTATAAAAATGAATGTTTAATTATTAAATCTATTGCAATCACAAGAGTTGCTAATGTTTACCTGCGTTTCACAGTCAAAAGGGAAAAGGCTGAGCATGAAACTTTTATCTTTTCGTGTTCACAAAAAAAAAAAAATATAAACATAACAAACTCTATGCTTTCCTAAGCCAGCAATTTAATTACGCTCCGTGTTTGATAAGCAGGTTTGATACATACGTGGAAGTGCCAGGAAAAGACCAGATGATACACCATCAAAAACAATGATTATTTTCATAAGAGCTACCTATTTCTTTAAAAAATAGTATTGATCTATGATAAATTAAGCATACGTAACTATAACAGAATGAGCTCTTCCTCTTTCTTAAGCACGCTATTTAATATCAGAGGCTAAAAAGGTACTATGATAAACAAACAAAGGATCATGCATAAACCATTCTTTAATATTGGAATAAAAGAAGATAAAAGCAGCCATAATCCATAGTGCTTAAAGAAATAGCTAAATCATAGTTCATCTCATTTATTGCCTAGATCATTTTGATTGCCAATTAACAACTACTACGTGTGTTTCACAATATTGGTAGGCTAGCAACTTTTGATAAAAGCCCTTTGTTTATCATCAGCTGCCATTTTTAAGGATGTCTCCTTTTCTTTTACATTTGATTTTCACCTTACTTTTTCACTCATTTACCAAAGAAAAAAAAACAGGAAAAACACGTAATGGAAATAAGAAAAGTGAAACAACTGTTATAAAAATTATGTGTATGTGTGTGTGCGTGCGTGTGTGTGTGTGAACAGATGTATGCAAACAAGCGGTCTTATAAAATAAAGGAGGCGTAAAGACTATGCAAAATAAACAAGCTAAAAAAAAAAGATACAAGAGAATATTCTACATTCTAAACAAAAGAAAAAAAAAAAAAAAAGGAGACGTTCGGGTGTGTTCTAATATGGAAAAGATAGAGAGCTTTTTATTTCTCACGAAACACTTAAAGGTAACATATGGCGATGACATTTACCTTAGACCTAATTCTTTATCAATGCACCTAACCCAGAATATCACCCAACCTTGGCAATCCTGAACAGTATCTGATCCCACAAGCAGAAGGAAGGTGAGATGTCAATGTATCTGTTTTATCAAGTAGGGTTCCTCGTAATATCGCTCTTTATTTTGATCAGCACTCTTAAAGGTTTCAAAAAAAGAAGTAAACAAAAGAAAAAAAAGGAGTAACAATATTTGCTACCTTATATAACCGTAGTAGTGGTAACAAAAAAAAAACTCTTTTCTACTCTTTCATACACTGAACTTACTACAGCAATATACCGTTACTATGGCTATTGAAGAAGTATATAAAGACGGTACGCGTTATAAAAAAAAACAATAAGATACTTAATACACAGCGTGAGTACTTATAAACGTTCTCAATTTTAGAAATAGCTTCATGTCTACTTAGTCAAGAAGGAGAGAAGTTAAGCTGGAATAAGTTTATTTTCGATATGAAAAATAGAATAATATCGAATTACAATGGGGAGGAACATAAAAAATATAAATCACTATGGAAACATGCGTATAAAGCTACTGCTAAAAATTTGAAATTGGAAGTTGACACAATTAGCCATGAAGATGAATGGGAAGTAATCAAAAAAGAATTACCCAGTCCATACAAATCACAATCAAGTCCTCCGTTATCACCAAAAACTAGCAGCAACAGCAGCAGCAACCGTAATACTTCTTCGCTTGAGTATCAAAAGAAATTAACCTCAACCGATTATATTAAATTGAAAGAAATCCATAGCAAAATAAAAAATAAATGGATATTAAGTTCAGGAACCAATGTAGAAGATACAATTTACAACGTATCAAAAACATTTAATTATTTTCAGTAAGTAAACCTATATTGCAATAGTTTTATTTGTATCTTATTATTTACGTTCTTTTTAGTCCTGCACACTCAATGATCCTTAATCCTAATGATCCTATCTGGTTCAGTCATTTCAGTTCAGAGGACCTCGTGGAAATAAAAGAACATGTTGATCGCTCGCTGAATAATGATCTTCCTAAAGAACTGGAAGATATATTATTATTACTAAATCAAAAGGTAAAATTTGAATTTTCTTTATTTTTTAACTCCATTTTCGTTAATGTTATATTACTAGACAACATTCAGAGCGATTTATGATGCTATGGATGCCGTGCCTGCAGACCCAGTTAATAATAAAGAAAAGTATTGGCTCAAAAATAGCATAATTAATTACGTTATGCTCTTCATCAATGGACCTACTATAGTACCGCTCAAATCTGAAGAAGATCTTTTAGATGATGTTTATAGTTTCATCAAAACCAGTAAACAACTAAGCAATACTAATACTGAAAAGTAAGTCATGTATAGCATTGATACCGTGAGAGAAGAAGCTGTCTTGACTAATATGAATATTTTGATTTTATAAATAGAAAAACAGAAAGTACTGCATCTTCTGAAGAAATTAATAAAGATCGACTGATTGGATCAATAAGCAAAATCAACAGGAAGATAGCAGCTAACCATGCTGATTTGGTCTTCAAATATTTGACACACGAGCTTGGATGTGTTGAAATTGGCTTGCATAACAAAGGCCCAACAGGAACAAAAGAGTTACAAGAGTTCGAGATCAGAATGCCACTAATGTTAAAAAGTTTTATTTCACATCTTGTTAAAGATTGTAAAACTATGCCCAACAACTTTAAAGTCATTTCATTCGTAATCAGTGGTAAAGTATAAAAAAAGAGGTTCTTGTACATATTAATTGATCTCTTTCTTTGACAGGAATGTATATCTCTGCTCAAGTAATGACTTGTAATAAAGGGTCCGTTGCCCTGGTAGGAACATCTCAACGGTACCATATGCCAGAATCCCCCACTGAAGTTCCTAAACTACTGCCACCTGTGCTAAAGCTAGTGTACAATTGTGCCATGGCCATTGAAAGTACTACTAGCCATTTGAAAGCTATCTCTTCCTCTGTCTCCCTTGATGAAGGCTCTGAAGTGTATTTCCCTCCTTGTTTCGTTGCGGGTGATAACAAAAGAACCTATACAGCTGCTTTCAGTGACTAGTATGAATCGTTTTTTTTTAAACAAAAAATTTAAGTTAGGTTGTTATTAAAATTATGTAAAATAAAAGTTAAGAGTATACAGAGAATCTATTTTATTGAATGAGTGTAATTTATTATAATGCCTCTTCAAGATGAATGGCAAAAAGCCTCTCTTCGCTTCAAAGCATTAAGCTTCTAATAACAGGAGTAACCACGAGAAGGTGGAGACTATATACTCCCAAACCCCAGACCCCAAAATGCCTCCTGTCGAACTACATCTGGTGTACGAAGAACCAGTAAAGTAAAACGCAGCAACCAAACCTCATTCGACCATCTCT